AACCAGTTTTTCCTGAAATCACAGTAAAGTAGGTCCATTTTGTTTCTGAAGCGTGTTAACAAAAGAAACCTCTAGTTTTAGATTTGTTTTGGTTCCCAGATAATTTGAAAAGATTGTGTGCATCAGTGAAAAATTTCAGTTTGTGCTAAAGTGATTGATATTTAGGTTTAATCTAGAAAAAGTGATTTAGAATATTTTTGTAATCATTTTGGACTTGCACATTGTCCTTGCATTTTTAAGTACATAGTAAAATTCAGTGATGATGCATAACTCAGAACTATACAAGTATTAATCAGTTTTGTAAACAGTAGCATGAGCTCTGCAGTCTGACCTCTGATGAGGAAGTCTCTGGCTGTCTGCACTTTCTAAGTTTTAATCTTCTGGCAGAGGCAAAGGCCGCAGTGGAAGTGGGCATGAACGTGGTCGTTGTGGTGAGACCAGGCAATGCGGAGCTTGCCGAGGAGGAGCGCTCTCACTACAGCCTCATCTCGTCCTTCAGCCAGCTGCAAGCAACTGGTTCTGCCTGAACAGTTAGACAGCGAGAGGGCCGCATGGACCCAGAGCTGCCTTTTTGGGTCAGGTGGGAACTGGGGCCAGGCGAAGACATTTGTACATCCATTGCTGAACATGGGTCATCTAAGAATCACACCTAGGCTTTTTTTTTTATATAATTTTTAAATATTTCAGTTTTGATCCATGTCATCTTGGACTGTTGTGCAGTACGATGTAACTCCAGCTGATAGGACTTATTAAAAACATTCCTGAGATTTTTAAGTTTGCTTATTCAGTTTTGATCTGCAGTTCCTCCCATAATATATTTTAACAGCATCATAGCGTGAGATATAATTGAGGCTAAAATGGTCATAGATTGAATGCAGGCTTTTCATGGCCTTTCAGATCACGTGTGCATGAAAAATAGTTTGTTCTGAAGAACAAGGTACACAACACCCTGAAAATTGTTTCTTACACAATTCACTGTTTTTCTCCTTTGATTTGTGACTTCCCTGATTTTAGTGATTCAGTTGCCTGTGGAAACATGATATTAAGTGGTTTCATTTGCTTATCAGACTAATGCTGCAGGCTGTTCTGAACACATTTGGGGAAACAAGCAGAATTAATGAGTCCTTTTTAACTTTTGATAACCCTAGTTTAATTTGTACATTTCATAGAGAAAGAGTACAATGTGTATGAGAAAACTACTGTGACATTTTTCCTTTGGATTGTATATTTGCACAATGCAAATATAGGTTAATAATTAAAGCTGGAAGGCAGGAAAAATGCTTACCAAACTTCTAGAAACTGGCAGAAATAATGAACCAACAATGTTCATTTGAACCTTGATACATGGATTATCATCATAAAAATAATAACAAACAGCAAAATTATTAAAATGGAAAAAACATCCCAAAAGACATTCTATGAAGCTCATGTAAAATGTTTATGGGTCCATGACCACAAAGTTCTCAAGAGTTTTGTAATGAAAACCAGTTTCCTATAAGCATTGCAAAGCCCTATTCCAACCTATTTCAGCAGAGCTATCCAAGAAAAAACGTGTCACAAGCTTAGATAACATTCTGTTTTGCTTTTAATGAGCGGCATGTCATTCACCAGGGCTGTAGATGGAAGAGTTTAAGCACAGCACATTTTGCTTAGTAGAAATCACCCAATAATTCAGACAATAAGATTTGAATGTGGGTCTGAAAGATTAATTCAGTGTTTCTGAATCCAGTCCTCGCGGACCCCCAGATGGTCCACGTTTTTGCTCTCTCCCAATTCCCTGGCAATTGTGAGAGAGCAAAAAAAAAAACGTGGACTGTCTGTGGGTCTGGGAGGACTGGGTTGAGAAACTCTGGTTTATTTCACATTTAAGTGAATTTTATTATCAAATCATCTATGCTTGTTTCCCAGGAACATGGTGCAACAGAGACAGGACATGTCACACATTCCACTGTAAAACACTACATGGGTGCAGCACATTATTTACGACATAAAATACAGGGTTGCATAGGGCTGCATCAAATAACACAGTCCTATATGAACGGTGCTGCGCATGGCATGACCGGCCCCATGGCATCACAACGTGTTTATCATTTTAATTATCCAGAGAAAATCTTTCCTTTATCATAATTATTCCATTGCCATGAGAAAATGATAAAACAAGATTTTCCATGGCTGTTCTCTATAGAGTGTTTTGTGACAATATTTCATAAATGTCATTTAAATGATTATTTAAAGTATAATTTAAACATCTGATTGGTTATATTGCAAACTAAGTCACAAGAGATCGATCTTGTCTAGTCAATTGAATTCTCATTTATAATTGTGTTTTGTCTGTATTACAGTATCTTACTAAAGGTCAGTCCAATATTCACTTTTCCACATGTGGTTTTGGGCTGCGGATGGTCGTGCGGCGCGGCAGCTTGTGTTCATACTACACATGGCTCCGGATGATTGCGGTTGCGGTGCATGCAGGTCCATCCATCCATTCATTTTCTGAAAACGACTGTCCTATTCAGGGATGGTCCAGAGCCTATTCCAGAGGCTATTGGCGCAAAGCAGGTAACAACCTAAGATGGGGCGCCAAGCAATTACAGGGCACCCTCATACACCATTCACTCACACATGCACACCTACGGGCAACTGGATAACAATAATTATCCCCAGCATGTTTTTGGGTTGGGGAATGAACGAGAGGGCAAGAACACAAAACCAAGAGCACACCCAGAAGAGTGAAGTATGGGCTTTGTCGCATTTGCCACACCAAGTACACACTTACACACTTGGCGGGTGTACTGTATTCAGGTGCTTAGTGCCAGTATCCAAGGGTGTCCCATTCCTCAGATAAGCCAAGTGCAGCACCCTTAATGTTCACTCTATCCACACTTCGGTAAATACAGCATGGAAGAAGTCATCAACTAAAGGCCAATTTATAATTCAGTTTTCATGTTCAGTGGCGGACGAGGGGACGTGACGTAAATCTCATCATTAGGGACTGGCTGAACCGGCTGTGGTCTGTATGCATGTAGCCCAGATTTTTATGCCTAGCAGACTATTTCCCCCCGAACAGTCATAAAAATCTCAGTATACCTCGGTATCCCATATTACCGTAGTACCGCCCAAGCCTAAACTAATTACTTTAAAACTGTTGAAAAAAGTTTACCCATTTCACTACACTGCTTATATTTGTGTTTGTTACAATGCAGCTGCCCTCTCTTGGTCTGGTGGAATGTCAGTGCTGTATGCAGCACAAACCACAACCATCTGCATCTGCAGCTAAACATAGTATGAACACAAGCTGCTGTGTTAACTTGTTTAGTTTTGACATCTTAAGACATACAAATTTGGGTGCTACCACTTCATCAGTTTTTGAGGGGAAACCCTACATACAATCATTACAAGAGAAAATGATGCTCCACCTGTATTCAAAAGAAATATTTTTAAAGGGGCAGTTCACCATAAAACTGGAAAAAAAAAAAACATTTTTAGAGGGAGTTTATTGCTATCTAACTAGGTTGTTCTGCTGGGAGTTGCCTAGTTTTGGAGATATCGGCTGTAGAAATGTCAGATTTCTCCCGAATATAATGAGAGTGAATGGTATTCTTTCTGTGGTGATTAAACTACAATAGTTTACAATAGATTTGAAAAATCCACCAGCAATGTCTCTTACCAGAAATCATGACATGGTTATTGAAAATAATCTACAGACTTTGTAGTGAGCAGTTTTATCTAGGAACTGTTTTCTTCTACCAAACTTCCCACACTGATAGTATCACTGCACAGAAGATACAACCACAAGCACCACAGCGATATCTTCTGTTCAGTGATACGACTGATGCTTGGAGTCCAGTAGAAGAAAATAGTTCTTAGAGCCAGCATAACCAAAACATGGAGCTCACATGACCATAACTTAGGCTTACATACAGGCCAGTGCAGCTCCTATGTCATGATAGATGTCTTCAGTGAAACCTCAGTTTCTTTCAGTTGAATGATGAGGCAGGTTCCTTAAGCTTAAGCAGTTTATTAAGACAGAATGAAAATGTTATAGAAAGATGTTTCACACGGCCGGTTCAGTGTCTGTCTGTGTCTGTCTCTGCCCCCACTGAGGGAAGCAGGCCCTTTATCTATGGTCTTCGTACAGACTCCTGGAGCCGGGGGGTCAGACTGACTTGGTGAGAGTAAGGTGTAAATATGAAATATGAAGACTATAAATGAGTGAAACAAATTAATATAATTAAGTAACTACAAATTAACTATGGAAATCCCTCAGTCAGAACGGGGTGGGTATGTGACGTCAACCAATAATATGGAAACTGGTCTAATGGTCTACATGTCTTAAGACATCAGAAATGAATGTAACACGTTAATTTTTGACATCTTAAGATGTACAAATTTGATGTGCTGATTAAGAGGGTTTTGACCCCAATGGCGTGTCATACTTAAGGGCCTGTTAAGGCTAATTTTTACTTCTGCGCCAAATCAACGCTGTAAGTACGGAATAGTCGTAGACCCTATGCCAAATCCTACACCATAGCCGGACATGCACCTCCCCAGAAATGTGACTACAAATCACGGCAATGCAGACCGCAAGAAATGTAATTGGTCTGCTTGGTAGTACAATAGAACCTTGGAACACGAATGCCTCTTAACTCAACCAACTCGGACATCGAAAGGGTCTGTTGATTTTTTTTTTGACTTGTACCTCAACCGAAATCTTGGAACTGCTAAAATTTGTATGGGTCAAGACACATTCAACTCTACCAATTTGGACCTCTAACAAATTTTCCGAGAAACATCTAGCTGCCACTCGACCAAGAACATGCCAAAACAATAGACCTACTATAAGATGTATGCATCGAGATGTGTCTCCCCTTCCAGACAATAATTGTAGACCCTTTGGGGAATTCCTATGTGCTGAAGTCGGTCTGTCCTTTGGCTTCCATTTTTTTATCACAACAAACGAGCCCCCGCTCAAATGTTTAGCTTTAAAAAAATACCGCAAGCGGGACCAAAACACTGCACATCATTGTGCAAAGAGGCGGGGTCTTTAGCTGTCCGGAGGGCCGTGGTGCGACCATCCGGCTCCTTCAGTTCCCTCTGCCTTGTCTGTCATTTGCCAAGACAAGAACTCCAAAACATGTGGAAAACATTGACTAAAGAGATAAAACTGGTTCAGTGCATTTAAGTCTCATCCAAAGATTTACATTTTCTCAGTTCAGCGCGTTCTTAAATACATCTAATTAATGTCTTTACGTATTTTTTACTTAAATTTTTTAAAGCTTTCACAGTATTATATATTTTGTAGTTTTATTATTCACCTGAGAGTATGTTGTGCTTATTTTCCAACCATTACACAGCTATACCAAATCACATTTTTATATTGTAAGGTGCCAAAATTCTCTATCTTAATTTTGAGGCTACAGGTCACCTAACCAACTCACACTACACAGAAAGAACATGCAAATTTCCAATCATGGAGATGTGTGGCGACAGGTCTACCTGTCTCTATTTTGGTTTTAGTTTTGGTCACATCACTATCTCTACACTGACTAATATTCTATTTTCTTTTTATACAAACTGCTATTCCAAAATCTCATAGATATGTCAACAAAGTCAATAACATTTATGGAGAGTGTAGTAATTTTCCCGGGCAGAACAAGTATAGACTGCTCACTGTAAAATCATTAAAATGAGCTACCCATAAAATACTATTGAGCGTGGGTTGCGTCAAATTTGGCGTGTCACATGACGAACATCACGTGACAGAGTCAAGCCAATGACTGAATAGTTCATTGGCTACTGGTTCTTCCCTAAAGTTTCGTAGGAGTGGCACTGTTGTAGATGCGGGGTATAAACATACAAAGATAGCATGATTTATTTTTCAGCAACCGTGGCGAATTTTTAGGGTTTATATACATGTATATATGCGCGAAAATTTGATACGTTGATTTCTAGTTACGTTCTCAACATTTACTTCCATGCAATTATTTCCTGACTGGAATGCGTAATTAATTTGAGCAAGTTTAGCACCAAGGTGGCTGGTTCCGGCACGCGGCATTATCTCGCGTCGCTTGCAGGTACAGTGAGAGTTGTACGATTGACGTCGGCTCAACTAAAGGAAAGAGGCACTTTTTTAAAGGGATCGTTCAGCTACACGTGAAGCCAGCTAGCCAGCTAAATATTACCCGCATTGGGAGTGTGCTTGAGGTTGAAAGGTGCCTCTAGCTGGAATATTTTGTGTAAATTAAAATGGCTACAATATCGTTACCAGCAAACGTCAGCGTCATGTTACTTGACATAGAAGGGACCACGACACCAATTACATTTGTCAAGGTAAACTAGCGCATTATTAAATGACATTTTAAATGTCAACGCGTTGAGTGGCTAAATCGTAGCCTGCACTTTATGCAAAAATAATGTTGAAATAAAAATATCAATTGATGGACGTGAGCAGGCTTAATTATTGTATTTTTTGGCAGGACATTTTATTTCCATATATTAAGGAGCATATCGAGAACTATTTGTCTACACATTGGGAAGAGGACGAGTGTAAACAAGATGTGCAACTACTAAAAAAACAGGTACGAATTGCTGGCGACAGCAAGGTCATTTTGTTAATAAGACAAAATAACGCAACACGTGTTCCGGTAATTGCAAGTGGTATAATAATCTCTTTTGGATACAGGACTTATCCATCAAATTCACACATTGTAGTTGCCCGATGTTGCAAGTAGGGACTGACAATTCTGTATTTTGGAAAAATCTTTTCTGAAGGCATTTATTCTATCCTCGTATCACTGCCTGCTGGTGTCCTTTGGTTATGAGACCCTTCAGAGTAATATGATGGCTGCATCCACAGTCGCGGACAAGTCTTTTATTCAGTGTCATCACCATTGTCACAAATGGTTATACACTGCCGTGTACTTTATACCACGATTAGGTTTACCTATGTCATCTGGAAATGATCAGTTATGTTGTTTCTTTATAAGATCTTTTACTGTGGCAGTCATATAAGAAGTTATTACTCTAACGCAGCGGTGGCCAGTCTTATCCACAAAGGGCCGGTGTGTATGCAGGTTTTTTGGGTAACTTTTAGGTCAGCTGTTCAAACCCAGATGTGAGGACTCCTCAGCCAGTCAGTCCTCTAATTAGTAATATAATTAGGGAGCTGCAACGAAAACCCGCATACACAGCGGCCCTTTGCGGATAAGATTGGCCACCCCTGCTCTAACACATAGCACTAGCATATAACCAGCCTGTTCTGTAAAAAGTTGTAATGCTCGCCCCTAGTGAAGTCAGTGGGCATTATTTCCCTCCCATCCTAAAAGTCCCCTGAGAAATGCTGCCTTTGCTTTCCAGGTAGACTTCCATGGTAAGAAAGGACTGGTGCAATTTTAAGGGGAATCCCCCTCTACCCCAGCCGCTGGCTTTCTGTGAAGTCAATGCATGGTGTTTAATGGTACCATTTTGGTGGCAGACAGAGCAGGATATCCGGGAGCACCGAGCATGTCCCGTGCACAGCCCCGACCAGACAGTGCACACGGACGAGGAGAAGGCCATCCGGGAGGTGGTGGACAATGTGCTCTGGCAAATGGCAGCTGACAGGAAGACCACGGCGCTGAAGCAGCTGCAGGGCCACATGTGGCGCACAGCCTATATGTCTGGAAAAATCAAAGGCGAGTAAGTAGGCCTGACT